GTGTTTCTTATTCTCATATTTCAAAACGCCCCCCCCCCACTTCTGGGGTCCCATCTTCTGGAGCCTCCTCTGCGGTTGCCAGTCCCATAGTCACTCCTGTATCTAATTCTTTTGCTGTCCTGGGCTCAGACGTCCCTACTTCAACACTTCAGTCCATCCTCACTTCTTCATGTTCTCCCTCACAAACCCCCGGTATCAACAAGACCTCATACGACACCTCCTCCCAATCATCCCTCTACTTCTCAGAGGTCCAAAACTCCTTTAACCCCTCCTTCCCTTCATCCACCTCCACATTTTACCTTCCCAGTCTCTGTACCTGAGTCTTCCCCTTTCAATGGCTCTGTTACAAGTGTGGAGGTTCATCCTCCTTGCACTGTGCCTTCCTCCCTTGTCCCCTTTCCAAGTTTCTTCCTCTTCTGCCACCTCCCAGGTTTATGCCTCTTCTGTCCCCTCCCACACTTCTCCAGTTCCATCCACCCTTTTGCCCCCCTTACCTTGGTACAGTACATTTCAGTTCCGATCTTTACTCAAACTCCCCCTCCTTCCATCTCCAATATTGTCTCTCATACGACGTCTCTGAACTCCAAAACACTTGAAGCAATCTCTGAATATATTGCAGAGACCAAACCATCAATGGACATTGATCCACCCTCTGTTCCTTCTCTTTCCTCTTCTCCATCTGCGCAACTCCTTTCTTCACAGTGCACTGTTCCTTCGCTGCTTGAACGTTTTCCTTTGCCACCGCATGTGGACTTTTCTAACCCCTCTAGTCTGTAGGTTCCCTTACCTGTGGATTTCAGGTGTCTTTATCGTTGCCAATCATGGCCTATTTACAGTGGAATATATGTGGCCTCAGGGGTAATCGGGGTGAGCTTCAGATGTTGCTCTCCCAGTTTTACCCTGTTGGTGTTTGCTTACAGGAACCAAAATTACACTCTGCTGTTATCTATCCCATCTCAGGCTATAATTTATTGTATTCTTCAGATCCTTTTCCTGATGGGACCTTTAATGAAAGTGCCCTTCTTCTATGCACTGATATTCCATACCATCAGCTATTTGTTCATACTTTGCTGAATTACACAGCAGCCTGTATCCACTTGCATAGGTGGTATAAACTGTTCTTCGTATCTCTCTCCGGCGGGTGGAAACATTTCGACACGTTTCCTTACACCTGTTGTCCTGTTCACCTAGCAGCAAATAGGTACCTGGGTGTTAGTCGACTGGTGTGGGTCGCATCCTGGGGGACAAGATTAAGGACCCCAATGGAAATAAGTTAGACAGTCCTAGATGACGCACTGACTTTCTTGGGTTATCCTGGGTGGCTAACCCTCCGGGGTTAAAAATCCGAACGAAATCTTATCTTATCTGGAGATGAAGTACCAAATTATAGTAGTGTATTGGGATTAACTTGGGATACTGAGAGAGATTTGTTAATGTTAAAACCTAATAAAATTACAGTATGCCCAATAAATTAACTAAAAGAGTTTTGCTTGCTGAAGTTTCCAAATGTTTTGATCCACTAGGCTTAGTGTCACCCCTTACTATAAAAGGGAAATTATTAATACAAGAAGCATGGAAGCTTAAATGTGCTTGGGATGAAACTCTGCCTGAGGAATTCATTAACAAGTAGGATGAATTAATTGGTGATTATGAAAAAATTCCAATGTTGGAGTTCACATGCCAGGTGGCCAATCCAGATGGGAAAAATATACTCCACATTTTTTGTGATGCTTCAAAATTGGAGTATGTAGCAGTTGCTTATCTTCAATGTAATAGTGTTATTTCTCTTGTTATGTCTAAGACTAAAGTGTTTCCAATTAAATCATGTACCTTACCTCAGTTGCAATTAACAGCCATTTATGAAGGTGTCAAATTAGCTAATTATATAAAAAATCAGTTGCATGAGATAAATATTAGCGACACTGTAATTTTGTCTGATAATGAGGTATCCTTACAATGGATTCGTAATGGAAACAGTAAAATTGTGCACATACAAAACAGAGTCACTGAAATTAATCAGATGCAAGAGAAGTATAATAGTTTGGGTCAGCATGTGTTAACATTTAATCATATACCTGGTGAGGAGAATCCAGCTGATTTCTTGTCTCGAGGTTTACCTTATGCTAAATTTGTAAATGCTGTATCATGGTTTATAGGACCAAGCTGGTTGGTAAATAAAGGTAATTGGCCTGTACAAAAGGCATATATTGCTCCTGTTGAAATTACTGTAACAACCACTCCAATAGTTTGACCTTCCTTAGCCATTGATATAAATAGGTATTCTTCTTTACCCAAACTAATCAATGTAACTAAGTTGGCATTTAAATTTCTGAACAAGATGAGTATCTCTTATAAGTTTTCACATCCTCTTGAATATTGGATGAAGAGGGTACAAAAAGAAATCTATGGAAATGAGATTAAATTGATGATGGTAAGAAAAATTGTGAAAGGTTCCATAATAGAGAAATTGGGGCTGTATTTGGAGAACAATGTAATTAGGTGCAGAGGTAGGTTACAAAATGCTGAATTGGGTGATTATGCTAAACACCCTATCTTACTGCCCAAAATTCATCATCTAACAAATTTAATTGTTTTAAATGCCCATAAAAATGTAATCTATAATGGGGTACAAGATACCTTAAATTGTATTAGGGAAACTTTCTGGATTCCACAAGGACGGCAATGTGTAAGAAGGGTGATTAAATCTTGTGTAATATGTTGCCGTGTGGATGCCAGATCCTATATGTACCCAGGTCCTCCACCATTGCCAAAGGAGCATGTACAATTAGTGAAACCATTTGATGTAACAGGTGTAGACTATAGTGGTCCAATAATTTTAACAGGTACTTCAGATGGTGTTCCACTGAAAGTGTATGTATGCTTGTTCACTTATACTACTACTAGGTCAGTTCATTTAGAAGTGGCTCAGGACTTGTTTGCAGAACAATTTATACAGCTGTTTTGAAAATTTGCAGCTAGGAAATCCTGTCTGAGATTGATGATTTTGGATAATGCCACAAATTTTGTAGCATGTGCTCAACACTTGATAGAATTAAATAATAGTAACAAGGTTCAATCTCTGTTAACCCAACGAGGGTGTACCTGGAAATTTATTACTCCTAGAGCCCCTTGGCAGGGGAGGGGGGCTGTACAAAAAACTGATAGGCACAGTGAAGAGGTGTCTCCGTAAAGTACTACACTGGAAGAGAATTAATTTGGAAGAATTCCGTGCAGTGTTAGTGGAGGCGGAGAATCGTATAAATAATAGGCCTCTCTCGTACATGAGTGATACACCTGATGCAGATGTATTAACACCTTCTCACCTAATATGTGGAAGGAAATTGGAAATGCCCCTGTCTATAGAGATAATCCTGAAGAAAGTGATGAAGATTACAATGATGCGGCAGTGTTGTGTGATAAATTTAAAATGGTAAATAAATTGATCATTGGTCTAATGTGTGGCATAAGGAATATCTTCTTACACTACGTGAACACTTTTATGGTGCGAGAGAGGCAGTAAATCAATTCAATTCAAATTCAAAGTTTATTCTCTATAAGGATTACAATGCTGAGTTTACAGAAATTTGGTTATTGTTTGGTTTACATGTAGTAAAATTGTGATTACAGAGTGTACCACTAGAACGCTTAGCATGGCTAGGCATTTCGGGCATACTTAGTTTTATTCTTAATTGTAAAATATTACAAATTATGAGGTAAGTTGGTATTATGGCTAAGTGACTAAATACTAGTTTGTGAGTTTAGCAATGTGAATGCTTCAACCAGGTGACATTGTGTTAATTGATACTGAACAACATCGAACATAGTGGCCTCTGGGCAAAGTATTGACATTGTACCCAGATGCACAAGGTGTTGTCCAGAATGCCAAAGTATTGTGTCGTGGCCAGGAAAGTTTATGCACAATTAATAAATTGATTCCCTTGGAATTAAATGGTAGTCAATCAAATATGAATGAAAATCTAAGGGAAAGTGACATGAGTGATATTGAAGATAACGCTGACCAAGTGATGCTGGAAGATGAAATTGTAGTAAGACCTACTAGGAGAACAGCCACTTAAGTCAGAACTGGCTGGAATCGTCTCCTAAAGGAAGGAGTAATTTGAGTCGTTTAGCAATGAACTCCAGCTGGCCGCAGTGTGGAAAATAATGTATTTTCCGAAAAATCCAGCTTGCCTTTTTTTATTAAAATTAGTGTAATACATTGTATTTAATAAAAATTAATTTGTAAATGAAAAAGAGACTTGAGAGGGAAGCTCTGCGCCTGCACTGATAAGCAGGGGAAGAGACGCCATTGTTTTTTTAATGTAGTACAGGCATGCTAATGTAATGTGCTTAATTTTCGTCACTCTAGTGGTTATATTGGGCTTAAAACCTCTCAAATAGGAGCCGAAATTGTTGGATGTGCAGTCCTGCATAATTTTAGCATTAAGCAGATGTACAGGACAGCTCCAGGAACCCCAGCTAAGTGTCTATGTTTATGTTTAGTAATTCTGGCCAGAAAATACTTCATAAATGTAGACAGGGGTGGTTTTTGAGTATGATACACAGTAATCTCCAGACAAATTGGTGAGTGTTATGATTATAAATTCTCCTTGTGTTATATAAATGTGTATATGTAATCATTTATTAATTTTTAACATACAGTCCACAAATTTATATTAAATTTTACCAGAATTCCTGGTGATGTACATTTCATTTGCAATTAATATAGGTCTAGAGCAACTTGTGGAGAAATAGATTATGGTAGGTATCGACGGGGGAAATTTTTTGCGACCTAGGTGTCCTAAATTCCTACTTGTCTTTGTAACTTTGATAAATAATAATTATCTTTGTTACCATTTACTGGTATGTATCTAATGAGATACATCCAGAAAAATGTAATTTTCCATAGGTATATTGTTACAGGAAAAAGTATTACAACATAAAATTAATACGTTATACGAGTTACCGGTAAAAGAATCATTGTTTGACTGTGCCCACAGCCTCTGTTATCACTGCTGGGATTGCTGTCCACCTTTATGGCAGTGGGTGTGTCTTTCGGGCTGTGCTCAGCGATGGGTCTGCTCTACGGTCCTGTCCACACCATCCTGCCGCTCCTCATGCTGGGCCTGGGTGTCGACGACATGTTTGTTATCGTCCAGTGTTGGCACAACCTCACGCCGCAGGTAAGCACTTCTTGCTGCTGCTGCTGCTGCTTCTGCTCTCTCTCTCTCTCTCTCTCTCTCTCTCTCTCTCTCTCTCTCTCTCTCTCTCCTCTCTCTCTCTCTCTCTTCTCTCTCTTCTCTCTCTTCTCTCTCTCTCTTCTCTCACTTTCTCTCTCTCTCTCTCTCTCTCTCTCCTCTCTCTCTCTCTCTTCTCTCTCTTCTCTCTCTCTCTCTCTCTCATACATATATATATAATATATATATATATATATATTATATATATTATATAATATATATTATATATATATATATATATATATATATATATATATATATATATATATTATGTATAGGTACACACACACACATTATATATATATATCTATCGTGGCGAATAGGTAAAATGGTTAATTAGCAAGAACTCATTTAAAATGAAGTCCTTTGTAAAATTTTCACTTAAGATAAGATAAGATAAGATTTCGTTCGGGTTTTTTAACCAAGAGGGTTTAAAATAAACCCCGA